GCGCCTCGCTCAGCCAGTGAGCGGGAACCGGTCTGTATGTGGGATCCGAACCCTCGGGCGGGAGCGCCACTGCGCTTCCCAAGCGGCGCACTATCCAGTGCGCCACTGGGCCGGCCCTCAATATTGGTTTTAATTGAAGGAATAATACAAATTTTAGTTGGATTACTGTTCATTAGTACTATTTCCCAAGCATTTCTCTCACATAATCAATGAGAGAAGTCTTTTAGTAGAACCTTTGATTCTGATAAGAATAGAGGCATAGCAGTATTTTAAGAAGAGAATTAATGGCCAAGTACCTGCTATACACTTTTTTAAAAAATGCGTTGGTCTGGACGGAGGGTTTCTTCAGTAGGGTTAATGTGATTAAGAAACAAATCAAACAATAAAATGTTAATACCTGTTAGTAGGGATCCTTATAGAAACTGGTATTAAGGCTGTGTTAAGAAGTCCAAATGGGAGAAATCCGAACATCTGCACATTGATCACAGCCAAAAGCTGCTATGCAGATAGAATCCTCCTCCCCCAAAATGCTTACAGATTGATCAGTTCTTCAGTAATACAAATATATGTTAACTTATTTCAAAACTTTATTAAGTACAGAAAACATTAAGGTTCTCAAGTAGTAATGAGATGTACCGTTGAAACGTCTGTAAAAGTACCTCAACGTTAGGCGTACTGGAAAAGAATAATCGATTTTCAAAGATTCTATTGGTATTACCATCTTTAAATGAAAACAGAGTTGACTGTCACCTGTAACTGCTGGCAAGAATCCTCAGATGCTTTTTCTGTACTGACTTCTAAATATTAACAGCAGCATATAGTGAAAACCTCAGTAGGAGCTTAGATGTAGTACAGGTAGGATAGTGTGGCTAGTAAAATTGTAATTTTTTCATGATACTCAGAGACCTAATAAAATAGTTCCTCCTATATCTCTAGCAGATCTGGACTCTATATAAAAATAGCAGGGGGGTGGGGGAGATGACACAATAACTATGACAATTCCTTGATCTTGTTAAGACAAGTGAACAGATATGATGTTGATAGGGGGTGGTGGGGAGAGGGAGGGAGAAAAAGGTGGAATTGGTAAAGGGACACGAAAATCAACTATGTTGTATATTGATAAATTAAAATAATTTTTTTTAAAAGGAAAAAAAAGGGATACTTTCTGAACTGACTTTTGCTGTGGCACAATGTTGTCTAACATTCCTGGTCTGCAGGGATCCTTAGTCACAGAACCCTGTTTCCCTGTCTCTGAACCCCTGACACCATGAGAGAATTGCCTGCCACCTTTTGCTATTATTAAAACTCTTTGAGAGTTTCTTGAACGTATGCTGAGAGAAATGAATTCAAATTTCACTCATCACAAGCACATATTTTATTCCAAAGATGGGCTAAGTAATTATGTACTTTGCAAAGTCACCTATGGTTTTGATTTTTGTTTCCTAGGAATTCATATCCAGTCAAAACTAGAGAGTTATGGGTCATTGCTTTTTTTAAAAATCCTGCTAAAATATGCATAACATAAAATTTATCATTTAATTTACCATTTCACCATTTTTAAGTGTATAGTTCTGTGACATTAAGCACATTGACATTGTTGTAAGGTCAAGGCTTTTTTAAACATGAAATAAAAGGACATTCTCAACCTTACAAAACCTGTAAAAGAAGATGAAAGGGAAATTCTCTTTCTCAAGACAGCAACGAGCATCAGAAGGTTTTCACTGAATTTCCTAAACTTAAAAAGCCCTTATATCCTTCTTAACCTCCTTAATCTCTTCACTTGAATCGTGGGTACACGTAAGCTTTGTATTAGGAGGTTGAGCTGAGAAGGTAATATCATTGCTTCAAGAGCAAATGCTTATTACTAGGTGCCAAGGCAGTTGCCAAATGTGCAAGGTATAAAGTAAAACAACCACCACCACCATCCTTGTCCTCTAGGAATTTCTAGTCAGGAAGACAGAAAAGTAAATCATTTATAAAGGCTGTAAGGAGGTATATGCAGGGTCTTGTAGTAGCCCAGAGAAAAGATATCTAATTGGACGGGGTTTCCAGGAAGGCTGTCTGGAGTGGGTAAGGCTTTAGCCGAGTCTGAAGGATGACCAGACTTAACCAGGCAAAGACTTGAGGCACAGAGATGGCAGGAGCAAGGAGTGACTGCCGTGTGGTCATTATACTTAGTAATTGGGCTTCCTCTGTCTACTGCAGCCATTTCAGTTTATTGTTTTATTTTATAGCTGGTATCAAATCTGAAGGAAGAAAATACTTTGTTGAAGCAGGAAAAAGAGGCCCTCAATCACCTTATTGTGGAGCAGGCTAAGGAGATGACAGGTAAGGCTCATGTGGGTCCAAACTATTACAGCCTACCAACCTCACACCAAAGTTTTATGTTACATTATTTTATGAATTATAACATTGCTTACAGCTTAAATATTTTTAAAAGTTGAGGCTGTCATCAGTAATTTACAAAGTTCCAAGAGGCAAGAGCTTCAAATATTTTGTTTGAATTAGTTGATGAACTTGTAAATCTGGTTTCTCTGTATAAACATGAACTCATATTCAGTCAATGTCATAGGTAATTTTTTTAAAAATTAATTTGTTCTGCATGTATGATTTATCAGCTATGGCTTATAGGATTCCTATTGACTTAGTAAGAATTATTGAGCTTATATGTATATGTATACGTGTGTATGTCTATGTGTCTTGTTTTTATTTGTTTATTTTTACTAAACCAATAGATGTTATTTTCCTAAGATCGACCATTCTTTGCCACCAAACTAAAAAATAGAATTCTAATTTTTTTAATAGAGAACTAACTAGATGTAGACATTCATTCTATGTGCTGTTTGTGAGGTAGATTAGAATGGTGATAATTTACAAGGAATCCACATATATAAAAACAAGGAATAAAAAGATATAGATCTAAATACAGTAATTAGTGGTGGAAATGGAAGAGATGAATTGGCATAGGATATATTATATGAAAATAATCAACAGAATGTTATTTTTGATATGGTATTCAAAAAAGACAAAAATGCTCTAAGGTTTTAAGATGAGATATGAAAATAATAATAGTGTGTTATTAGTAATAAGGAAAGTGAGGGGGAAAAGTACTAGTTTATGAAGCACATTAATGAAGTCAATTTGTAGGGTGTTAAATTTTGGATGTCACCTAGGGCCTCAGGATGGAGGTGTTTTGAAAGCAAATCCAGATTGAAAATTAGACAGAAAATAAGAAATGAGCATGAAGGTACCCATTAAAACTATGGTGGTAAGAGAGCCTCTGTGCTTTTCCCCACACTGCTCTTTATCTCCCAGTTAAAGGGGGTGTTATAAAGGAAAGAGAAGGAAACCTGGAATTGATGACCATAACTAAGGGAAAAGGTGAAGAAAAGAAGCCAGAAAAGAAAATTAAGAGAGGAGGTAGAAAACAGAGTCATTGAAGATCTCAAAAGAAGGCTGCTAGTATGCAGAATGTAGTGGAAGGACCCAGAACGATGAGACTACTTCTAGGAAAATATAAAATGTTTTTTGAAATTGAACTGTAAGAACAAAGAATTAACAATGGATTTGCCTAGGGAAAATTTCTTGGTAGCCGTGGAGCAGCTTTTGCAAACTGGTGAGAATAAAAGGCAATTTATAGAACTTTTAGAGAGAAGAAATTTTTTCATTCATTCATTTACAAATTATTTTTTTTTTTTTTTTTTTTTTTTTTTTTTTTTTTTTTTTTC